GCATTAACAGCTGTCCTGTTTGGGTCATTAATGGGACAGTGATTTTGAGATGGGATCTGCTGCCTGAGTCATTCTTAACATGGGAGTCAATGAACACATTGATTCACTGTGAAAGTTGGGGCTATTTGCAGAAGGGGAACAGAAGCAAAGGTCCTTGATGATCAATGAATTCAATAAGAGCACCTTTTCTTTGGCTAATAAGACTCACAATTGACAAGTACTCCAGCGAGACTGCAGCAAATCCCTCCTGGTTAAAAGACCAAAGAAATTGGCGGTGTTAAGGAAAATCTCACTGCGAATTTTCCAACTAAAGCTGGTTACACAAATTGAGCTGAACCAACAAACAATTACAAACATGTTAAATCCTTACATAATTGTGCAGCATTAGCAGCCTCGTGGATTAGTACAACACACACTGGTCTTAGCTACACTGTCGGCAAACAATCCCTCGCGTCCCCGTCCCCCCCCCTGAACTGGCCACTCCGCTTACAGTGAGCGTGCCGTTTTCATGAAGCGCAGATGCAAATGTGATATGATGTGGAGATTATCCCAGACAACTTCTACCAGATGGACACCTGTGCAAATGAGATCCCACGGGTGCGCTCTCTTTCCTGTTAAGTATTCTGGGCAGCACTGATAAAATGGAAAAGAGAGAGCGAGAGAGAGAGAATTGTGTCATCTGCTCCACATGAGTGATCGATGGTGTTGGCCAACACTTTGTCCTACGATGTCTTTCCAACATCTCACATCCATCGCAGTGCCTTTTGAGCCTGAAGAGGTGAGCAGGTGATCTCCTGACTGTTCACTCGGCAGGTATAATATTCGTGAGGCCTAGCCAAAGAACTAAGCAGGGAAACGGTCCTACTGCTGCACACTCCAGAGTCCTAAACGGCGTACCACGCAGAGCCCTCAACGCGTTCTGCAGATACAGTGATAACCCAGGCGATACCGCGGCATTAATGTGCGACAGTGTCTGTCAAATGTGTCAAACTGAAGGGGCTGTGCAATGCCGTGGAAATGATAGATAGCATCCTGCGTACATCAGCCGAGAGAAGTGTCAGGCTGACAGCTACTGTACACAGCTGGAGGGCAGGCAGAGGACTCAAGCTGCAATATGCAGCAAACGCAGTGAAATCCTGTGCAATGGTCAGCTAGGAGTTAAGCAGCCCGCTGAAAGGATTATGAGTCGCATACTGTGGAGAGACACTGCGGTCACTCCTCGCTACAAGATAATCATGGGATTTAGCAGTGGTTAAATCCACGGGTTAATTTACAGATTTATGTATGAAGCCAGTGCTTCTTCCAGAGTTGAATCCCTCCCAACAAAAAAAACCATCCGCAATATTTTATTTCATCCTATTGACCGTCTATGAATCTTCCCCACCAGAGGATGAAACCAGATGGAGCCTGCCCTTTAACTCAGCGACTGTTCACGCTGATATTAAATAATAGGCAGCAGAATTGATTTGGAATCCTCCTGAGAATCCACGGCACCTGTGGGGAAATTAATGAAGTAACTTAATGAATCTCTTAATTAAAATAACTCCTCTCTAATAGAAAGTGGATGATGAAATACTCGCTGATTACTCATTAGAGCTTACTTTCAACTAACAATAACGTTCCCGGAGAATTGTCTCAGCACGAGGCGCGCGGCCCAAAGGTTGATTAAAGGTTACCTCGGCATAACTTCCTTAAAAACCCAACACGGGGTTAACACTTTAAAGATTTAGTGTTGCTTCTTGACCTATGCTGTGCAGTAACATTAAGGTCTCCACTCAGGACGTCATTAGCATTTCAGTCGGGGTGACCGGCATTTATCTTAATGCATATGTCATGCAATACAAATCATGCTGTGATAAAACTCACATAGAAATGTCAGAAAAATACAGTTATTTGGTGTGTGTGTGTGTGTTCTATGTGGCTTTGATTCTCACTGGGAAACAACTAACAGTATTGTACTTAAAGCACCTTAATAAAATATAATATTCTAAATTGAAACACCCGTCTGTGAATCAGAAAGGATATTACTTTACTAATTTATCCACTCCACCTGGAGTCATTCTGTACCAGTGTGTCGCAAAAGCTAAAGGGGAACACATCGACAAGTACGTGAGTGACACCGCAGGTCCATTGTGTTGTCACTTGAGTCAGCATATACCTGAGCTCACATCGCATGTGTCAACCGAAGCCTGCCTCAGGATGTGAAGGGCAGATGTAAAAACAGCCGAGATCATTCCTGAGAGCACACGGGCTGCAGTTAATGCTGCCTGGCATGATTAGATGATTGGATGAGACGGAGACAGATGTAACAATGGCTTTAGACAAGCGGGAACGGGGTCCGATCAGCATCAAATAGTGGCTGACAAACTGGCAAAAAGACTGAGGTCTGAGAGGTCAGAAAAGTGGTCTTGATAACGGGGATTGGACTCAAGTTGTATACGCATTACATCGGCACCAAGCACCTTCCTCGTCCACACCAAGCCAAAATTAACCCACACCAAGATAGGCCGGCCCAGTTATCCTAAATCAGTATTTTATGGTGCCTGCATTATTTATGGCCAGAGCGAAGGTCATAGTGAACAGTGGGAAGGCTGGGGCTCCTACCTGTAGCGCCCGCTCATAACTCACCTGTCAACACTAGCACCAGGCCCGGGATGATTAAGCACCCCAGCTCCCCAAATCTGACTGTGGGCCAACTTGCTCCTACTTAGCCTCTGTCTAAGGCTGTGGCACTTGTCTGCCATGCTGCAACAACCGACTCCTGCCTCAATTATAATCCATCCCCCTCTCTCTCTCTCTCTCTCTCTCCCCCTCCCTCTGCTTGTGGTTTGTCTCTGTCCTTGCTTCAACCCGCCCTTTTGTCTCTTGTCCTGTAATACAGATTTTCTCAGGGAGGAACACACACCTCTGCGGATAATTTCTTTGTTGCCACGCTGTGAAAAACACACACATGCACGTGTTCTTCACACTAACATACAAGCTTTGCAGTTACACACAAATTAAATCAGTGAGATGTCATGCCTTCATTTGATGTCTATGTTTGGTTTCTGGGGTGTGATGTCAAAACTGTTCACTTGTTCAAGCTTCTAAAAGTGCTTGAATGTCATACGTGGACGTCTTTTAGACCGTACAGACCTTAACATGGTAACATTTATACAAAAGTATCCACAGTTTGTGCTTATTCTGCATTCCAGTCACAGATCTAAGCATGTGTTGTTGTGAAAAAGAAATCACCAGCAATCTTTGAAGCAGTTCTTTGAACTCGTAACACTATTTTCCAGAATACTCAAAGATTGTTTTTTATAAAAACAGGTTATTCTTATGAAATCAAGAAATAATGGAACGTAACATCAATATTGACAAAAAAATGATTGGAGATATACTGTGACACAAGGACATGTGTCATTTCCATCCTCGCGTCTTTTATGGATTAAGAAATCAAATCACAACAGTGGGAGCAGATTGAATAATAATTTTTTTTATTGCAGCAAACAATATTTTTTCAACCAGATGGTGAGACGAGGACCGTCTGGTTCTTTCAAAGATCTGTGCGTTTTATTTTTCAGAGAAAAATGGATGCTTAGCTTTGTGACTTAAATGTAATGGTAATACATGAAAGGAACGTATTAGGGCGTTCTTAATATACACAATGTCTATCTGCAAAAGCACATCATCCCCAAAATCCTACATTATCAGAAGACCTGATTTTCCAACAAGTCTGAGGATTCCTCCAAGCCGTCCCTTGAGTTGGGTGTCTCAAACCAACAACAGCACTTCTTGTGAGCCAACGTATTAGTCAGTCATTTTCTAGTTGATGCCTTCAGGGAACTCATTTTCCATTCCGCGACATCCTCTACTCATCTTTATGCTAGCAACCTGATTTCATAACAAGCATAAACAATTTGCCTCCATCGTATTCTCTTCTAACTCCGCCATGACCTTATTCGTTGGTCCCCAGGCCCTCAGGGTGTAATGTATGAGCAGCTATTGTGCTGTGAATATCAAATACAAACCGTCTCTTACTAAACATGCTCCTGCTGCAATGGGCCGTTGCACTGTT